TAGTAGTAATAGTAGTAGTAGTAGTAGTAGTGGTCGCAGTAGTAGTAGTAGTAGTAGTAGTAGTAGTAGTCGTAGTAGTAGTACTACTAGTAGTAGTAGTAATGTAGCAGTAGTAGTAGTAGTAGTAGTAGTAGTAGTAGTAGTGGTCGTAGTAGTAATAGTAGTAGTAGTAGTAGTAGTAAGTAGTAGTAGTAGTAGTCGTAGTGGTAGTAGTAGTAGTAGTAGTCGTAGTAGTAGTAGTAGTAGTAGTAGTAGTCGTAGTAGTAGTAGTAGTAGTAGTAGTAGTAGTAGTAGTAGTAGTAGTAGTAGTAGTAGTAGTAGTAGTAGTAGTAGTAGTAGTAGTATGATTATTATTCGTATTATTATCAGTCTCTATCTCCCCCAATCGTTCCCTGAAAAAGGTTTCCACAACGGCCGGGGGAACGCATGGTCGGAGAGCGCGGCGGAGCTCTGGCCACAACGTTCGGCCACATGCGGCGGCGGTTCGCCGTAGGCGTCTTCGATAAGGACGAGGAGAAAGCGCGGGGAAGGGAGTGAGGGAACTGGAGAGTTGGAGACGAGAAGAGGGGGAGGGCGACGGAGAAAGGCATGGAGGAGAAGGAGCAGTGGGACGGGGGGGCGCGGCGGGGGGGGAGGAAGGGGGAGGGGGGAGGAAGGAGAAGAGAAAGGGAGGAGAAGGGCGGGAGGGAGCAGGTTGGAAAGGGCGAGGGTTCTCCTCCACGTCCCCATCATTATCCTCCTCTCATCCTCGTGTTCCTCCTCCTCCATAACCTTACCTCCTCCTCCTCCTCCTCCTCCTCCTCCTCCTCCTCCTCCTCCTCCTCCTCCTCCTCCTCCTCCTGCGACACAGACTGACGACAACGAGGGGCCAGCGAGCCTGCCCCCGACCGCTGCACACTGCTCGGGATGAGAGCATCCCTGAGCTCTCCGAAGGATCAAAGGCCCGCATCTCTCGCGTCGGGCGAAAGGGGGGGATAGCAAAGAGGGGGGGGTGAGAATCAGCTCACGTAGCTGATTTTCCTGGCGCCTCCCGGCGCCGGGAGGCGCCCATGTATCGAGGAATGGGCCCCTCGGTGAGGCCGAAATCAGCTGCATGCGGCAAATTTCGTAACCCCCCCTTTCCCAATCTCCCCCTTTCGCCCGGCCCGAATCTCCACGGGGATCCAGCGGCCTCGAAAGAACGCACGCGCACGATCCAAGCCTGTGGGACAATACACGGCGGCCCCACGTGGTCGGGCGCCGGCAGGACTCACCGAGCTTGTGCACATGCATCGTGGTCGAGGCACCACAACGCAAGCAGACAATGCCATTAGCACTGTCGCCGACAACCTCGCTGACCCATCTCCTCAGACAGTGCCCCCCGCTCGCGACGACACAGCGAGGGGGGGGGTCGCAGACAGGCGGAGCGAGGGCGGCAGCAGCGGCGGCGGCGGCGGCGGCAGCAGCGGCGGCGGCGGCGGCAGCAAGCCCCTTGGCCGGCCGCCCGGCCGCACGCGCGGCCATGACGTCGGAGGCGGACAGGCGCGTGGTGTTGAGCGCCGCGAGTGGGGCGGCCCTGCCTACCTCCTCTCTCACAGCGCGCGCGAGCTGAGAACAATTTTCGTCGCCCACTCGCCAGCAAACCCGTTGCCCGCGATGAGACGGGGCGAGATGGAAAACCGCTGCGATCGTTGGTGCTGTTGATCGGAAGAAGATCTGCAGGCGGAGTATGTTTGTAGTGCTAGCTCTTGTGTCGGTATCTCGGTGAGCTATCGTTGTGTCGTTGCTGCTTTGGGAAGTGGACAGATCACTGGAATCTGGAGACTTGTCGGAGGTGGGTGGATTGGGCTGCTGATCATTCGGGCAGTGCTGGACTGCTGCGCGATGGGTGTTTCAGTGCCTGTCGGCTGTTGGTCAGGCATGGTAGTGGTTTGCTGTTGTGTAGCAGGGGCTGGCTGTTGTGCTGGCCGTGGTAGGTCTTCGGTAGAGCTGCCGCTGCTTGAGATCCTCCTCCTTTTTTCGTTAGACCAACTAGAGGCGGCGGCCTGGAGCATGCATGAGTGCATTCAAAAGCAACTTAACGCTGCGGTGAAGGCAAATTACGCCTGGCTGGCGCAGCAGGTAGCAGCAGGTACCCAAGCAGGGCAGAAAGAAAACATTTGGCCCCGATGGGCGCAGAGTATGCACCAGCAAGGCGTGCTCCTCCTCCTCCTCCTCCTCCTCCTCCTCCTCCTCCTGCTCCTCCTCCTCCTCCTCCTCCTCCTCCTCCTCCTCCTCCTCCTCCGGCCCCTCCTCCCGCCGCTTCTCCCCGCCCACGCAGGCCGAGGCTCCCCGGCAGCACAGGGCAGCGGCCACCCCCCCCCTAGAGGCGGCGCGCGGGCGGAGCGGCCAGGTCGTGCTGGAACGCGTGCGCCAGCAGGTGCAGCTCGAAGCGGAGGCTGAGGAGCGTCCAGTCCTGCCGAAGGGCGCCCTCGTGCCACTAGTCGGCGGCGAGCGAGGGGGGGAGCGAGAAGAAGGAGGAGGCCTTCTCTCAGAAGGCGGCGTGGCTTCTCAGAATCCCTTCGGCCTTCCGAGCGCTTGTTTGTGTCTTCAGGGAAAGCTTAGAAAACGTCCCGACGGCCGGGGGCCTCCGAGCCTTCTGAGAAGGCCCGACCCTTCTCGCTTCCCCCCCTTCCTCGCCGCCGAACTAATGCAAGACGACGAGTATGAATTATTAACAGAGAGCAGAACATCCACCCCCAGAATAACCACCCCGACAAGCGAAGCCGTTTAGTGAACGCACCCAAAGAAGGGATCGAACAGGGCAGGGCTGTTTAGCAAACGCCCAGGGCCTTTAGTAAACGCCGATTGTCGGGTCCGGGTGGTTTTGTCCTCCCTGTCCGAATCTTCGGGTTCCCCTTCGCTCCGGCTCCGCCTGGCCTGGCGACTGTCCGGGCGAGCGCCCGAGGAGGGCGGGAGAGCACGATCGAGAAGCAACTTCCGGGACGGGGGGGATCGTTTCTCTAATCGTCATCCTGGTCGCCACCGCGTGGACACCACCCCAGATGGTTTCTTAATCACCAGCCTGCAATGCCTCTTCCTCGCTGTCGCCCTGTCGCTCCCTCGGCAACGGACTGCCCCCTTCCTCCTCCTCCCCCCTCCGCTCACGGGAGGAGGAGATGGAGGCGGCGGCAGAGGAGGAGGAGGCGGTGGCGGCAATAGGCAGAGGAGGAGGAGGAGGAGGCAGAGGAGGGGGAGGAGGCGGCGGCGGCAATAGGCAGAGGAGAAGGAGGAGGAGGAGAGACAGAAAAGGAGGAGACAGAAGAGGGGGAGGAGGAAAAGGAGGAGGAGGAGGCAGAAGAGGAGGAGCAGGGATGCCGACGAGGAGGAGGCGGGGAGGGAAGAGGGAGCGGCGAGGCCGAGGGCGGGATGGAAGGCCTGCGCAGGGGGCGTCGACGACGGCGGCAGGAGGAGGAAGGCGAGCAGGGCAGGGAGGACGACGGGGAGGACGACGGGGAGGGGGAAGGAAGGGAGAGAGGGAGGGCAGGGAGGAAGGGAGGAGGGAGGGAGGGAGGGAGGGAGGGAGGGACGGGAGGGAGGGAATGAAGGGAGAGAGGGAGGGAGGAGGAGACGGAGGCAGAGAGAGGGAGGGCGAAGGGGAGGGGGCCAAGCTGGGTGCGCTCGCGCCTCGTCGGACGTCAGGTCACTCCCTCCCGCCCCTTCCCGTGGCGCCGATTTGTGTCCTCGAACGCGCGTCATTGCCCACATGCGACTCCCACAGAAAGTCCACTGCGCGTCATGAACGATCGGAAACAGGGGTGCTGCGTGCACAGGAGGAGGTGGCGGGTGAGCAGGAGAATGAGCGAGAGTAAAAGGACGAGGACGGACAGCAGCCGCAGGCACTACTAAAGCGGACGGACAGGGAGGAAAAGGACGACCAGGGGAAGGCGGATTAGAGGAAATGAGGGGGGCGACAACGATGAAGAAAGACTCGGATGTGTGTTGATGGCCCGCGCTGCGCCGACACGAACAGCAGCAGGAGGAACTGGAGTGGAAGGAGCAAGAGGAACAGGATGACCAAGGGAAGGCGGAGGGGAAAGGAAGGGGGGACCACGATGAACCGAAACTCGGATCCAGAAAAGTGGCCCGCGCTGGGGCGAGAGCGCCGTTCTGAACGACGAGAACAAAGCACCGATCCGAAAATGAGGCCAACGCTGCAGCGGGAGCACCGTTTTGAAACACCAGAAGCAATCGGACTGATAAAAAAAAACATAAGAATAGCAACCACTGCTTGAGATCTAGTGTGCAAAAAGCCGGGCGCGGAGGGGAGGGGAGATCTTCCGGACAACCCCAGGGGAGGAGGGAGAGTAGTTAAGGAGGGGGCCTAGGGGGGGGGAGAGGTCAGGACGACGACGACGACGACGACGACGACGACGACGACGACGACGACGACGACCGCCGCCGCCGCCGCCGCCGCCGCCGCCGCCGCCGGCGCTGCGGCTGCTTCCCGCCTCTGCCACCCCGCGAGGGGAGCACCCCGCCGCCCCTCCGCCGGGCCCGGTGCCCCGCGCCGCCCGCGCGGGGGGCGCCCGCGCGGCCCCCGCCGCGGCGGAGCCCGCCGCGGCCCCCGAGCGGAGGGCGCCCGCGCGCGCCGCCGGGGGGCTCCCGCGCGAGGCGCGGGCGGCCGCGCGCCCGCGGCAGGCGTTGAGCAGGGACCGGCCGTCCCGCGGCATTCCCAGAGGCCTACGACGACATGCCCAGGCCTCCTCCTCCTCCACTCCTCCTCCTCCTCCCCCTCCTCCCTTCCTTCCTTCCTTCCTTCCTTCCTTCCTTCCTTCCTTCCTTCCTTCCTTCTCCTCCTCCTCCTCCTTCTCCTCAGGAGGCTCGGAACGCTTTTCAGAAGGCCGGAGGCCTCTGAGCCTCCTGCGGAGGCCCGCCGCCTCCCGCCATTCCCATAGAACAAGAAGAGCGCTCTGAGAACAATCAGTGCTCCAACAGCGTACGACCCCGATGCGTGGAAGCAAGACGGTCCCTGCTCAGAGAGCATGTCGCACAAACCACAGAGAAGGCTCGTAGAACCTTCTGTGGTGGCCCTCCACAGGGAGACGAGGTCTGCACAGACCCGCTGCCCCAGGCCTGGCCCACACTGGGCCCTGGAGCGGTGTTTACACCCTCCGCCCTGCTGCCTTGGCCAGGGAGGCATGTACGCCGCTCGTGGAACCAGCATGGGCCAGGCCTGGGGCAGTGGATATGTGTATACATCTCGTCGCCCCTCCCTCGGGGAGCCAAAAACTACCGATACCGCTGCTCCCCGGACCTCTCCCAGGGCGCGTTCCGACCAGGACTTCGAGGCGAAGCCAGCGGTGGCGACGAGGGGTACCCGGGGAGGCCCAGGAGAGGGGGGCGGGGAAAACGGCCAGAGGGGCAGCGGCATGGGCACCTCTTCCTCCTCGAATTACGGCAGGCCAGGACGCTTCGCCACCGCCTGCAGGCGCGCCCGGCGCCCAGCGCCGTGCCCCGGGGCCCAGCGCCGCCGAGCCCCACCGCTGCCAGGATGCGCTCCGCGTTGGCGCGGGCCGCGGCCTCGTCGCCGACGCCCGGGAGGCGGGCCACGCGGCCGCCGAGCGGCGCCACGCTGGCCGCGAGGTAGCGCTCGTGCGCGGGCCAGAGGATCGGCGACGGGCGAGGGGGGGAAGCGAGAATCGGAGGAGGAAAAGGCACCCACAGCTCGACCCTTGCGTTCCTTTCTCCTTTTTGTTGGCCTCCTGGGTAGCCCTCGTCGCCACAGCTGGATTCGCCTCGAAATCCTGGTCAAAAGGACGCACCGCGGGAGAGGTCCAGGGAGTATTGTGGCGGCATCGGTGCCTTTTGGTTTCCCCAAGGAGAAGGAGAGGGCCTTCTTAGAGGGCGGCGGGGCTTCTCAGAGGCCCCCGCGCCTTTCTGGGAAGTGCTCTCTGCGTCCTCGGGGGAGGCTTAGGATTAAGTCGGGCGTGTCCCCCTACAGGGGGATTTTCGACGAAAAATAGAAAATACTCAAAAAATACTCCCAAATGATCAAAAAAAAAAAAAAAAAAAAAAAAAATGGTCCCAAAACTATGTTTTACTATGTTTGAATATTCCCCCTGTAGAGGGACAGGCCCGACTTAAGCTTAGGAGAGCTCCTCGGGAAGGCCCGAGGCCTCCCGAGCCTCCCGAGAAGGCCCGCCCCTTCTCTGGGGAAGCCAGACGGTGCCGACATCGCTGCTCCCTGGACCTCTCCCGGGGGTGCGTCCTGACCGGGACCTCGAGCGAGGCGAAGCCAGCCGTGGCGACGAGGGCCTCCCGGGAGGTCCCAGAGGGGGGGGGGGGGAAACGGGAAAAGAGCAGCGTTACGTAGGGAAACGAACTCTGTACACCGACGCTTTTTCCGACCCTGCGCGGGTCCTGGTGTATACGGGATCCTAGTGTATACATGTTTCGTTGTTTCCCTTGGAAAACGGGGGAAGAGTATACACCACACCGCCCCGACGTCGTCCATGACCCCTCAGAAGTCGTGGGATTGAAAAAAACAGCCCGCCACTGGTAATGTACATGTTCCAGTTTGCGATTACGGGCACCGTGGGGAGGGTAGCGTTGGATCGGGCATGTCCCCCTACAGGCGGATGTTGGACGAAGATTAAAAAAAACTCCCTAAATGCTCCCAAAAATGCAAGAAAAAGGGCCCCAAAAAACGCCTCCAGACTATTCTTATACTGTTTCTGCATGTTCCCCCTGCAGAGGGACAGGCCCGACCGAAGGGCAGCGGTGCGGGCACATCCTCCTCCCCGTCTGAGGCCCCCTTCTCTGAAGGGGCCCTGGGACACACAAATAAACACACACACACACAAATAACAGGATTCCCTATCTTCTGGGTTTTGGTCTTCCCCCCCACTTCCCACGTTTTCCCACGTGTTCTGGGGAATCGACGATGAATGGTGTCTCTGTGTTCTTCCCCTCCTCCTGCTTCCCGGCGCCCCCCCCCGGGCTCGCCGCCGAGAGAAGCTCGTCGAAGTCCGAGGCGCTGAGCGGGTTGGGGTTCCGCCGCGAGCGCGGCCGGGTGCGGCGCCGTCGGGCCTCCTCCCTCCCCAGCTCGATGAGGAAGATGCTCGAGCAGGGGATCGATTACAAGACTCGTGTACGCCCCGCGAAATGCTTCAGAAATCATGGGTTCAGAAATGCATAGTCTCAGAACTTGAAGAAGACCCAAACAAAAATTAAAATCTCAGGATCTACATTGAAACATGGCCGAACACGTAAGTTTTCGTAAGCATCGCCCGGGGTGTACCCTCAAGTCGGTCCTGTCCCCCTACAGGGGGATGTTGGACGAAACACAAAAGTAATCAAAGATACGCAAACATAATCAAACAATACTCCACAAATAATCCCCGACGCATTTTTTACTATGTGTGAACATCCCCCCTGTAGAGGGGCAGGCCCGACTTAAATGTACCCCATACTTGATCTTCTCGTCGGCTGTGCAACGAATACGTATCGTGTTCGCAGATCCACGAACAAAAATCAACGCTGGGGTGCATCAGTGATGTGGTCGATCTCCCACTCGACGTGTGCGTCAGCTGGCTCGTCACCTCCTGCGCGTGGAGCAGCTGGAAGCCCTCCGCGATGACCACCTGGTGCTCCGCCGACCGCTGGCCGATGTCGCGCGCGAACGCCCCGTGGTCGGTGCAGCCTGGCTCCTCCTGGTAAGACGAATCTAGGATAGAGGCCTCCTAGATGGGGTCCGTGTAGATGGGGTCGGAGAATCGCGCAGCATCGGCGATATATATATATATATATATATATATATATATATATATATCGGCGATGTATCGGCGATGCATCGTCGATGCACTGGCGATGCATCGTCGACGTCGGCGATGCGTCGGCGACGTCGACGTGAAGCAAATCGGACTCCACATCGAACCGCATCGTCGATGCATCGGCGATGCGGCGCGATCCTCCGACCCCATCTACTCGGACCCCATCTGGGAGGCCTGGACAGGAGGAGGATAAAATCGAGCGGGGACAGCTCGAGAATCTCTGCGATCTGGCGGCTCTGGAGGATGTCTCGGGCACCGCGGCCTCCTCAGAGCGTTCCGGGACGCTCCGAGAGCATTCCAGAACGCTCTGGACGGATTTGTCCTCGCCCCAGCCCCGTCCGACCTGGCTCTTCTTGAAGCAGCCCGGGGACGTCTCGACGCGCACGCTGCGCGTCCAGTACCGGTCCTGCCCCACGACGCACGCGCTGCAGCCCCGCCGCTCGAGGCTGCTCTGCAGCTCCCTGGCCACCCACCCCTTGCCCGAGCGGCTGGCCCCTGTCAGCCCGATGACCACGCGCGCGGGCGAGGGGGGGGTCGCCGGTGAGGACGGCCAGCTGAAATCCGCCGGCCCTGGCAGTCTCAGGCGTACAGTCGGGGCGTTGACCCAAGGAGCCCTAAGTAAGGAACGAGGCCCCTTTTTGTCCAAGGAAACCCATGAAGCCAGAGCCCGACGGAGCCCCGGAACGCATGCAGACCTGAGGAACGACCGAGCCCCTTTTGAAAAGTAAGTGTTCCTTACTCAAGGCTTTCACTGTACAAGATATGCGTCGGATCCCCACGCGTACCATTCCTCCTCCCGCTCGTCCTCAGCCACCTCTCGATCCCGACCCCAGTCGCCTGCAAGACTCCCAACATACCGCCGATCTCCAGAATTGCACGCACGACAACCGAACAACCTACTTGATCATCGATGGCCTCGTTATACTTCTTCATATCTTTGTCAGAATGACCAACGAATATCAATGACAAACGTCCTTTCCTTAGAAAAGTCCTCAAGAAGCCAGAGTGCCCCGCGGAGAAAGACCCCACACGCATGTGCAGGCGCACGCTGCGAATGCTCATGAGGCACTGGTCTCCACGCTGCATACCTGCAGCGGAACCAGCACATGTGGCGGCAGAGCGACGCGACGCTGCAGCACTGCTGCGCTCGTTCCCCCAAGCGCGGTGGCGGATCTGCGCCGCATAGCAGCCAGATCAATGTTGAGAAATGTTGACCCCGGCTCGAATGCTAGAGATCAAAAGAACCACCCTCATGAGAAGCACCCCGACAAGCGAAGCCGCTTAGTGGACGCACCTAAAAGAAGAAACGTCCAGGACTGGTCATGGAACGCCGATGTTGAGTGTCGGGACGTATTCCATCGAGATGCACCAGACGAGACTCTCATTCAGCTCTGGGACGCGATAACTCCCTCAAGGGAGGGAAGGGGAGGGGGGCATTGCAGACGCCTGGCTTACTCCAGCAACTGCACAGTGCCACAGCACGTTCAGACCCCCCTCCAGAAAAAGACTCCCTTCGGGTTAGACTTAGCTCGGGCATGTCCCCCTACGGGCGGATTTTGGGCGAAAAATTTTGAAGACTCCAGAAATACCCCAAAGAATCAAGAAACATGAAAATCGCCCCCATACTATTTTTTAACTATTTGGAAATATTCCTCCTGTAGAGGGACACGCCCGACTTCAGGTTGGACGCTCATGCTTGTGTCTGACGTGCTCGCTTGATGGCACGCCCGCTTGCCAGAGCTGGCGCTCCGTCTGCGCTCGTCCCCCGGAGAACGAGTCCACCTGCACTGCATGCGCCCGCTCGCTCTCTTTAGAGGAAGGAAGAGAACCAAAAAAACGGCACAACACACTGATTCTTAGGGCTCCGCGCGGATTTTCTTAGATCTGTCCTGGGACCCCCCCCTCTCCCTGGCGCGCGGAGCGCGCCAGGGGCGGCGCCGGAGGCGCCGCCGGGGGGGGGGGCAGCGCTAATCCAGGAAATCCGAGAGAACGCCAAAAATTTATGTGTATGGCGTTTTGTTATTCATCCATACTTGCGCGCTTTCTTGCAGCGTAGCAGCGGCTTGCACGGCGAACAGAACGCAAGCTCCTCCCAGAAGAGGCGCCCACTATACACCTAAACCGACGATCTGGGCCAGGCTCACACCTCCTAGAAAAATATGTGTACATATATATATATATGCGTATATATGTATATATATATATATAAATATGTATATATACATGCATACATACGTACATACATACAAAGATCATCATCATCATCATCATCATCATCATCATCATCATCATCATCATCATCACCATCATCATCATCATCATCATCATCATCATCACCATCACCATCACCATCACCATCATCATCATCATCACCATCATCATCATCATCATCATCATCATCATCATCATCATCACCATCAACATCATCATCATCATCATCATCATCATCATCATCATCATCATCATCATCAGCATCGCCATCATCAGCAGCATCAACATCATCAGCGTCATTATCATGATGATGATCATCATCATGATGATCAGCATCGTCATCACAATCACCAGCATCATCATCAGCAGCAGCACAAGCATCATCATCATCATCACCATCATCAGCAGCATCATCATCGTCATCATCAGCAGCATCATCATCGGCATCATCATCAGCATCATAATCATCAGCATTGGCAGCATCGGTCTCATCATCAGCAGCAGCATCATCATCACAATCACTACCATTAGCATCATCACAAGCATCATCATCAGTAGCATTATCAGCATCATCATCATCACCATCATCATCATCAGCACCATC